TTCGTCTTATGTGCGGATCGTCTTTATTACACACGAATTTACTATACTGAAATGAAGCTACTAGCTGAACGCAGGTAATGTGGGGAAATAAGGTTATGATAAACATTTAAAAGCCCATAAATGGTATTATTAGCCCTATATTTGGGTCCGTTTTTAGCCAGCTAGATGCAGTATCAAGACCATAAAAAGCTACAAAAATGCAGGAATTACGATGAAACGGGGTAAGGGACTGTTGTCTTATAATCCCGACATACAAAAAACGTCCAAAACACCTTCTCAGTCCCGGGGAGTCGTCTTATACGCGAGTAGAGTATATACGGTAGTTGCATTGTTCAAATACAATACATTCATTAGGCCTATCAGATAAAATGATTGTATAATATACCTATTTATTAATAATAATAATAATAATAATAATAATAATAATAATAATAATAAAAATAACAATAATTAAGATTTATAATGCGCACAGCTCCACCAATAATAATAATAATAATAATAATAATAATAATAATAATAATAATAATAATAATATCAATAGTAATAATAATAATAATAATAATAATAATAATAATAATGATAATAATAATAATAATAACAATAATTAAGATTTATAATGCACACAGCTCCACCAAGGGCGCTCAGAGCAGAGTGTCAAATTTCGCCTCAAAATAAAATACATCCACAATAAAGCCCTTAAAAATTTCAAGACGAATCCCTATACCAATTAGGCCTATCAGATAAAATGATTGTATAATATACCTATTTAATAATAATAATAATAATAATAATAATAATAATAATAAAAATAACAATAATTAAGATTTATAATGCGCACATCTCCACCAATAATAATAATAATAATAATAATAATAGTAATAATAATAATAATAATAATAATAATAATAATAATAATAATAATAATAATAATAATAATTAAGATTTATAATGCACACAGCTCCACCAAGGGTGCTCAGAGCAGAGTGTCAAATTTCGCCTCAAAATAAAATACATCCACAATAAAGACCTTAAAATTTTAAGACGAATCCCTATACCAATTTTCCCATCGAGGCAGCGTTGCTCACCACATGCGCAGATACTCATAAGGCAGTATGTTGAGCATCAGCACCTTCCCCCCAGGATAAACCCAGGGCTCCACTACCGTGCGTCAGAGAAAAGTGTAATAATGTTTTAATGTTTATCACGTATATAACCTTTATTTTATTTTATTTATTTATTTATAATTAAACTGAGAAATATTACGGTTCTCTGTACGCCTCGGTGAAAAGATGTGATTTTAAGTGTTTTTTTTTTAGCTCGTTTATAGTATTGATGTGTCTAACTCCACTAATAAAAATATAATGAGATAATAAATTAGACTAGTATACTTACTAATACAACAGACTAATGGATCCATGAAACGGAAGAAGATGATCGTTGGCTGGATTTAAACATTTAATGAGAAAGTATGTTGATACTTTTCATGGTCATCGTTTGGTTAAACCACATAGGCATTAAAATTGGTTTGTACAGTTTGCAGACGTTAAGTAGTGTCCAGCCAATTCTATTCACAGGCTCTCATTGATCGTTTACATTGAAATTATTATTCATAATTGATTCTAAACGGGTCGATTCATTTTAAAGAAAGTTAATTGATTAATTTAGGTTTAAGCAATGCAGTTCTTTGTTAAAATAATAGATCAGTGCATTCTTGCATCATCGATTAATTTTGTATACCGGTATTACAGTATGTGATTTAACTGCTGAAAAGGACAGTGGAGCTGAACCGCCAGATCTCGGTTCAGCGCACACAGTGGTTACCATCGGTGGCACGGTTTAGCTGACTGAGCTGAGCTGCTCTCTTAAGCAAATAATAATGAAAATATGAATTATGATATCAGTATAATATGTCGTCTAAGCCACGTTATGTCGGCAGCTGTGTAAGCAGCTTCAAAGCATTATAAATAGACAATGAGCTTCAAAGACATCCTAATGATAATAAACTAATAATAATCACAACAAATCAAAAATATAATTACACTTTTTTTTTATTAAAATCAAAATCGCATTCACATTCACATTACCAAAATCATATCACAATCATAAAAAGGCCAAAAAATAGTAATAGACACTTTTCTTTGTTATAACTCACGATACGCAGCTTCATCATTTTCAAGTATTGCTTCTATACTTATCATGAATCCTCGTTCCGTTGTGAATTTATCTGTGTGAAATATAACATCTACTTGATTACCAGTGGAAATTAAGTATTCACTTTCAATATCACCTGATAATACGAGGCTAGAGTTGACGTCACTTAAAGTGACAAGATCACAACAGAATTGGGTACTGAAATCTAGTATATGTAACAAAACTCTGTAGTTTTCTGGTGCCACTATTGTCCAATCACATGTGATATAAAGAGGATAGTTTGATGGATAGTTCGGCGAGGATAATATCTGACTTTCTGTAATGTTGAGTTGGTACTCTTTCCGTCCGCAAGTAACTTCTAAAACAACAAAAATGAAAACACGATTATATAGCATGTCCTTGATCACACTTGTAGTATTCCATATAAATATATATATTATATATATGAATATATGTATATATATATATATATATATA